TCGGCCACCCGCTCGCCCCTTTGTTGTATATCTTCACCCAGATCTGGGTTTAGCTTTTCTTCAAGTTCTCTTCGAGTTTTGGTTGTTAGGGAGAACTTTCAACGGTGTTTCGCTGAACTCTTTTGAAGGAAGACACCCATTCATTTTGTTTTTTTTAACAGATCTAAAAGCCAAAGAGAACGATGTTGGAGGTTAAAGTAATTGAACGCCTCGACCTTGGTTTGCATATGACATGCGCAAAGAAATCGAAGATTTTGGAGGAAGAAATTGAGCTATCGAACTCGAGAAATACGTACAACAGAGGGGTAGATGCAGGGCCTAGAGGAATACGTCGGTCGGAGGGTGAGGAATATGTCGACGGTCAGTTGCCGGTGGAAGGCTGTAGTTGACGGCAATGTGAAGCCATAGAGTGGGGGACTGGGGCTGCATAAAGTTCTCACCGTAGCAAAGTTAAGGGTAAATCAAGGGTAATTGGGGAAATATTGATGGCTGAGGCCATAGGAATGATGTTAGAGAGCTGAGCGAATAAACTCTCAACTGAGTGAATAAGTCTCAACCAAACAACTTTCTATAGCTGAGCCAATAAGCTATAAGGCTTATACAGCCCATTAAGCCACAAACGAACAACCCCTAACATTCCATTGGTATCTACTAATTTGAATTTATAACACTAAACATGGAAAATGGTGACGATAACGGGAAATAATGATGACTGGGACCGGTTATGACCCGAGGGAATCAGATCGAACATACATAAGTCCGATTTAGAAAAAAAATAATTTCTTATAAGTTATATAACAAGTTTCTACAAGATTTTCAAGTTTTGTTAAGCGTTTCAAGATTTCATCTACTTAAAATGTATTATTAAAAGTGTATTTCAATATTAAATTTCAAAAATCCTAATTATATAAACATGTATAACATTTTTGTTTAAAAAGGATTTAAAATATATTTGAATAAGTCAGATAAAGATTTTAAATTGTATTTCAATAAGATATTATTCAAAAAAAAACTTCAAACAACAATTTTTATTTGTTCACAACAGATTTTTGAAAAAAAAGAATTGGGACCGACTTGGTCTTGCTGAGGACCAGTTTTAGAGACCGCGCTTTGTAAATGAAGAACGGACCAGGTGTTTTTGGTCGGGACCGGAACCGATTTATGATAAGGTCGGTTACAAGAGAACAATATTCGATCAGGACAAATATAGACCAGTCTAAGACCGATTTTTGACCATTCTACACTCAACTACAAATGGAGACAACACTTACTACAATTTTACTAAAACACTTGCTACAATTTTACTAAGGTTAGATTTGACAAACTAGCTGATAGTTGATAAGTTAACTGGTAACTGATAAACTAGCCGATGAACTTAACACATTTGGTAAAAACTAGTTGAAAAATGAAAAATGACCCAAAGACATATAAAGATTAATAAAATTTTGACATTTTATAGTGTATTTAAAGCAATTCATTAATAATATCTATACTATCTTATAAACCAGATTTGAAAAAAAATTTAAAAATAATTTTTAATGATAAAGTAAAACATATTAATGCATAAAGTTTTAAAAACTGCACATGTACAACTTATAAGCCTGAAGTACAACATTAAAAGCTCTATTTACAAGCACAGCCTCACAATTTTACTCCTCCCCCAACCCGGCGATTCACAGTCCCATGGCAGAATCGCTCTCATTCTTCCCTTCCCCAGACGTCGATTCAAGCTTTCTTCCCTTTCCCCTTGAATCCTCAGCCGAAGGACTTCAAATTGTTTCTTTCTTCCTTCCTTCTTAAACCCTAATTTCTTCCTTCGTTTGTGGGTTGGTGGCGACATAAGGGAGTGGTGGTGGCATAACTCGAACTCTCCTCTACGAAACCCTTCAAAAGGTTTATAATTCTTCTCCTCTCCTATATTTTGTTTTTCATTTGTGGGTTTTTTTCGATTGTAAGGTTTATAATTCTTTTTTTTTTTTGGGTAAAGAAGGTTTATAATTCTTCTCTTTCCCATATTTGGGTTTTCTTGATATAAATGGTTGGATTAGACGGAATCATTACTCAATGCAGGTAATCCATTCGAGGGTAAAAAGCTCACTTTACCAGGTACAGTGATTGCATTTTCATCTGCTTTCTGAGGTTAGAACACACAATTTTTGGTTTGCTTTGAATTTAGGTTTAAATTCGTGTAAAGTTTGATCTTTGTTGGTTGAAATTGTTGTATACAACAGTGGATTCTAAAACCCCTCCCAGTTAAGAAACATGTTCTTTCAAAAATTGTGGGCTGTTTGTGGATTGTTCTTCCTTGTCTAATGTGAAATTAACATATTTATACCATCGATTAGGTATGGACTCATGACAAAACAGATTATAAAGGGACAGCTAAGTTGAATTCTTTAAAATTTGGCCTTGTCAATGAATGCTTTGTTTCTTTATGTATTCTTCATATGATGATATTATATGGTTCTTATGTTCAATTACCTTGCATAATGATTAATAAAATTTTATCGAATTCAGGCTGTAAGCTCATTAGAGCCTTTTCAGTTTTGTAGTTAACCACAATGATTTCATTAAACAGTTGATATAACAGTAAAAAGCAAACCAAAAATATCCCACATAGAGGTGGGGTGGATGTAAGTAGACCTTCTAACTCTACTGCTATGGAGGATATGGGATTAAAATTACTTCCTCTTAACACTAGGGCATACAAACAGAACCCTCTTAATAGAATTTTCAAATAAGATGCATAAAGTTATAGTTTTAGAGGCTAGAGTACGACAAGTAAGAGCTCTTAGGGGCTGTTTACCAAACACTTATCTCCGTAAAATTTTACACTATCATTTTCTTATCGGGTAAGATTTTAGTTCACTAAAATGATATCGTACGCAACAATTTACCTGGTAAGCGCTTACCATGATAAGAGTCGTCGTCCTCACTTACCGGGTAAGACTCTTGGTCCTTGTCTCGCTCTTACTCGGTAAGATTTTTGGTCCTTATCATATTCATCCGGTAAGGTAATGTGATTTGGTAAGCGCTTAACCGGTTAAGCATTTGGTAAACGGCCCCTAATAAGTTAGGGTCTGTTTGGTTTGGCTAATTTGGCCAATGTCTATAGTCTATGAAGCAGCAGCAATTCAAACATTCTTATCATACATATGCAGTCTAACATTTTCTACAAATTGTTTTGCTGTAGAAACAGTCTAGTCTACTACTGCTAGTTTGTATCAAACCAGTCCCAAACTACTGCTTGTTTTGCTGTAGTGGCAATAGAGGTGGCTTATTATAATTAGTAGCAGCCATGGATACTGCTTGTAAAGGTTTTGGTGAAAATACAATGGGCTTATTCTATTTTGGATCTGCATTAATAAACCTTAGAGATCCTTCCTGCAACCTTGCAATTTTTATAGTCCGTGCTACTGAAGTGGGTTTAAAAGCTTTTACAAATGGCTTAACAGTCGACTTTAAACACACTCCACCTTTTCAGTCATGTGATTTTAACCGGAAAGACCATTGCCTGTATGTTTTCAGGTTTGCCCTCGAAAGTTTTATATCATTTGCAAAATTTATGGTATATTTGAATTGTTTTTGGTAATAATGTTCATTTTGCATCTGCTAGATCTTGTAAAATCTAGCTTTATTCTCGGTTCAGCTAATACAAATGTGTGGTTGACATTTTTTGGTATTGTTTCAGGACTCTTAGGAAATTGTATAATGTGGATACAAATGACTATATGTTCTCGATTTATGGGATGAGGATCTTCGGGAGCTCTCTTCTCTCGGAAAAATGGCAACTTTATAGGTTTTGTGTGTAAATTTGTAATTTTTTTTGTAAAATAGGTTATGTGTATATATTTGGATGGACCCATTCTTTCTGTAAATTAGGTTATGTTACCCAAAAAATTTATTTAAAACATCTATTTGTTCTAAAAATGAGTTTGTTATTATAGACTTTTTATATGAAGATTTGTTCTATTTTTACAGGATGATTGCAAAAGCTTGTTATTATAGACTTTTCATATGAAGATTTGTTCTATTTTTACAGGATGATTGCAAAAGCTACCAACAACACCACTGATGTTTTGGATGGATGGTTATTTGAATCTAACATAGGTACAGATGTAGTAGACTTTATAACATCTTGAAAAGATTTGATATTTTGAAATTAAATAAATTATAATAAATATGTTATATTTCGTCACATTGTGCGGGTATACAACTAGTAATATATTAATTAGTACATACCATATGAATTTGAATTTGATTTATTATATAAATATAATAGTAATTAGAAATTAAAATTAATTAATAACTTGAAATTAATATTAATATTAACTAACAATACATAACAATAAATAATAATTAATATTAATTAGGGTTATATTAGAAAAAATGACAAAAAACTTCTCATAAACTATTTCAACTAGTTTATCAATAAGCTAATTTATAGTAATTCAAACGTGTACAAAAAAATAAGCTAACTTATAAGAACATCGCTACCATCTTCTTCAAAATAGAGAAAATAAAGATTTTGAGCCAATATTTTATTCCAACAACTTTTTCAAAACTATCTCCAAAATGAAGAAATCATGTGAGAGATTCAGAGAAGAGTTTCTTCTCCAAATACAAAGAACACCCCAAAAATAATTACCAAGTGAGAGCACAAATAGAAAGTTTTGGTGGTCTCGAAGACCATCTAACTATTCATTAAGAAATGCCTGAAATACTTGCTTTAAGTCGCATTTATGGGAATATGATTTCAATATGTTTGTATCTGATTCCATTATTATATTTGTATTTTACTCAACTTCAAATAATACGATATCAAATAAGGAAATTATATTGAATAACAACATGATTTTGGCACAAAATAAAGGGTAGTTTCCTACCAGGTGTAGACATAAGTTATAAAATTCAACCATTGGTCTTCTCCTTCGCTTCATCTCCCATTTTGGTCTCTGCTGCTGCATATTTTGAAATCAAAACCCTAAAAAAGAAACAATATGGTTGTTGCTGAAATCATTCTCTCCTCATTCATCACTGTGCTCTTTGAAAAGCTGGCCTCTGCTGACTTGATCAAACTAGCTCGATCTGCGCGGATCTATTCTCAGCTCGACAACTGGAAGATCACCTTGTCCCAGATTCAAGCTGTGCTTGTTGATGCTGGTCAGAAACACATAACACAGATCGCTGTTCAACNTTCTCAGCTCGACAACTGGAAGATCACCTTGTCCCAGATTCAAGCTGTGCTTGTTGATGCTGGTCAGAAACACATAACACAGATCGCTGTTCAACAGTGGCTGCAAACACTCCATCATTTGGCTTACGACATAGACGATCTTTTGGATGAYTTGGCCACCGAAGCTATGCGGCGTCAGTTGAATAAAGGATCTGAAGCCACCACCAGCACCAGTAAGGTATTRAAGATCATCCCAACTTTCACTCCTCGTAACATCATGTATGGTCGTCAGATGAGTTCTAAGCTAGAGGGCATTACGGCCAGGTTGCATCAACTTGTTGAGCAGAAAAATATTCTGCTTTTGGTTGAAAATGTTGAACGGTCAACTAGAACAAGTAGACGATTGGAGGAAACTTCACTAGTTGATGAGTCCAGAATCGTGGGTAGGGAAAARGATAARCAGGCATTGCTCTCCAAGTTGTTGGACGATGAATCCKGCAATCCAAACTTCAGTGTTGTTTCTATAGTTGGTCTGGGAGGGATAGGAAAAACGACCCTTGCCCAAGCTTTGTACAATGAAAAARAAGTGGAGGATYACTTTGAACTCAAGGCATGGGKTTGTGTTTCTGATGAGTTCGATGTATTTACTATTAGCAAGGCTATTTTTCAAGCGGTAGGTGGGGGTGACCAAAGTTTTGCTAATCTAAATATGCTTCAAGTGGCCCTTAGAGAAAAACTTCTGRAGAAAAGGTTTCTACTTGTTCTAGACGATGTTTGGAACGAAAACTATGATCAATGGGAGCTCCTCCAACGWCCTTTTGTTGTAGGGGCACCGAGAAGTAAAGTCATCGTGACAACTCGAAATACCATAGTTACAATGGTGATGGACTCTGTTCAAGTTTACCTTCTTGAGGTTTTGTCGAATGAAACTGCTCTAACTTTGTTTGCTCAAAATGCGCTSGGTGAACAAAATTTTGACAAACACCCAACTTTGAAATTRCATGGTGAAGGTATCATCAAGAAATGTGATGGATTGCCGTTGGCTTTGCGAACGCTTGGGAGGGTCTTGAGGAMAAAAASAGATGCYGATGAATGGGAGGAGTTGTTGAACAGTGGAATATGGAATTTACATAATGAAAGTAAGATTCTTCCGGCTCTAAGACTAAGCTACTACGATCTTTCTTCGCATTTGAAGCAGTTGTTTGCATATTGTTGCTTATTCCCCAAGGACTACTTGTTYAATAAGGATGAATTGGTCCTACTATGGATGGCAGAAGGGTTTTTGCATGAGCCAAATGCTWGCAAGTCAATGGAGAGTTTTGGYCGTGAGTATTTTGAAGAACTAGTGTCAAGGTCGTTTTTTCAGCATTCAACTGATGACATATCAAGATATGTRATGCATGATCTCATAAATGACTTRGCCATGAGTGTTGGWGGAGAGTTTTTCTTTACCTTGGATGATAAGATGGGKAATGAAGCATTGGAGAAGGTCCACCACYTTTCRTATATTCCTCAAGMGTATGGAYKATATAAAAARTTCAAGGCATTACARAGAGCTAGACGCTTGCGAACATTTTTATCGGTTRCGAYGYATCGATGGCAGARATTTSACTTATCAAATAAGGTTCTTCATGAATTAGTTCCCCAACTGCAGTTCCTAAGGGTMCTAAACCTAAGTAATCATTCAATCACAGAGGTTCCAGAATCCATTGGTAGTCTCAAGCATATTCGTTACATCAATTTTTCCCAAACTGACATCACATGTTTACCGGATCAAGTCAGTGACCTGTATAATCTACAAAGCTTGTTGCTTCGTGGTTGTTATAGCTTATCTAGCTTGCCAGATAGTTTTGCAAAGTTAAYAAATCTRCGACATCTGGACATTCGTGMTACTCCAMRGTTGAACAAGATACCCTTAGGGATTGGTGGGTTGACGARTCTACAAACTCTATCAAAGGTGATTATCGAAGGGGATACAACTGGGTTCAAAATATCGGAGCTTAAAGTCCTAATGCATCTTCGAGGTCMACTTYACGTTAAGGGGCTGCATAATGTGAGAAATGGAATAGAAGCAAAAGARGCCAACYTACAACAAAAGAAGGATCTTGATGATTTGGTGATGGAATGGAGAGTTGACATGGATGATTCTCGGAATAAAGAAAATGAATATGAAGTACTTGAAGGGCTAAGACCTCATTGTAAGTTGAGGAAACTTAGTATTTTGTTTTATGGAGGAATGAAATTTCCTAGTTGGTTCGGGGACTCTTCGTTTGATCAGTTAAGGAACCTTACATTACGTGGTTGTCGAAGTTGGACACATTTACCAACACTTGGACATCTACAGTCACTTCAAAAGTTGTTTGTGGGAAGCATGAATGAGGTGAAGACTTTGGGCATCGAGTTTCTTGCATCCGCTAATTCTTTCCATGGTATTGCATTTGCATCGCTTGAAGTTTTGGAATTCGATGATATGCAAGGTTGGGAGAGATGGTCAACTAGYGGTGGTGATAACAACAGACCTGCTACATCGTTTCCTCGTCTTCGTGAGATTTCTATAAAACGTTGTCCGAAACTTAATGAAGTGTCAATTGATTTAATACCGTCACTTCGGGTTTTACGTATAGGACAATGTTCCGAGGAGGTGTTAAGAAGCATGGTTGGTGTGTCTTCATCAATTGTTAGGTTGATAATGTGGGATATTAAAGGACTTATTCTACTACATGAAGAGGTTTTAAAACATCTTGGGCAAGTTGAAGATCTGGACATATCATCATGTGATGAATTGAGATACTTGTGGGAATCAGAATCGAAGGCATGCAAGTTTCTTGTGAGTTTAAAGATATTGGAAGTAGAAACATGTGAAATGTTGGTATCATTGGGAAAGGAAGAGGATAATTTAGGGATTAACCTAACATCTCTTAAACAAGTGAAACTTTATGATTGCAAGAGTATAGAAAGGTACAAGTGTCCAGAAAGTATCGAGAAGTTGGCGATGAAAAATTGTGGTTCATTGACATCTTTGACCTTCCCAACATTGCAGGACCTCCCATCCACTATAAAGATTATTCGCATTAAACATTGTGAAAACCTGGAGGAGAGTTGGCTTCTCAACAACTTCTTGTCATCACTTGAATCTCGTCATTTGGAGGGGAGATAATCTGAGGTCGTTTCCTGAAGGATGCTTTATTTATATCACCAAACTGGAAATAGTGAATTGTGATAACGTAGAATCCATTCCAGATAAAGGGTTTGGTTTTCTTCCCCTGTTTTGCCTAAAGTCTCTTTGTATCGTTTGTTGTAAAAATCTAAAGTCATTTCCTCACGAGCATTTGCCAAGTCTCACATCTTTGGAAGAGCTGAAGATTAAGGATTGTCCAAGTATGGACTACTCCTTTCCTTGTGGGTTGTGGCCTCCTAATTTAAGTATGCTAAGTATAGGATGCTTAAATAAGCCCATGTCAGAGTGGGGGCTGCAAAATTTCCCATCCTCACTTGTTGAACTACATTTATATGGACAGAATTCAGGCGTGGTTTCATTTGCAGAGGCAGAAGATGTGAGGAGGATTAGCAGCAAYACGACTTTATCATCTTTTCTTCTGCCCCCATCTCTAACTTATCTATATATCAAGTTTTTTGAGGACTTGGAATCAGTTTCAAAGGGCTTACAACACCTCACTTGCCTTGAACAACTTTCAATTGTGTTATGCCCAAAGCTTATAGATCTGCCAGATAAACTACTTGCTTCACTTTCGTATTTGTACGTGAAAGATTGCCAGAAACTGAAGAAAAGGTGTCAAAGTGGTACAGGCAAGTACTGGCCCATCATCTCTCAAATCCCCTGCTTTTGGTATGCTTGATAATGGTACGTCCTCTCCTTGTCCATCATCTATGTTTCTTACATAATAGTACTAAAAAATTGTTCATATTAATTTTAGTAATAATAATGTTACTATTAATGGATATCAACAGAAGATTGTATGCTCACTTTTTGTTGGTTGAAAATTTGTTATGTTCASTCTTTCCCTAGCTTGCTGAATTACTTCACTTCCTTTTTTTTTTACATGTTGTAGATTATTAAAGCATCTCTTCAAAGAGATGTCCAATGTTTCTATTTGAGTGGAGAACAAAGAGTAATGTGAAAAAATGGATCATGAGACTTCCATAAGAAAGAAACAGGAGAGTATATACAAGATCCAGTGCAATAATTGCATATAGTGAGACACAGGTTTTGTCTAGGATAAACAGTTTAAGTATGGGCAAAAGGTCTGCCTGTTTCAGTTTGCCATGGACAATGGAAAAGCGCTTGTTGTCGTCACAAAAGGAGTTGTGATGCATTTTGGTTACCAGAGCATATACTTCAAGCAGAGAATAAATAACCCATGAATAAAATTCCCCTATTTTTGGGTAATTTGGTTGATGGTCAAGTGCTAGTGATTTAGAATGCTTTATAAGATAAATATAATGCAATTGTTAAGGGATAGAGAGAAYAATGGTTTGTAGATATGCGAATGTTCAGTGATATAGCAAAGCACCAGAGGGATATTCTCTTAGTAATATTTTACTATTGTAACCAAATAATTGAGAAGGAGATGGAGAGAAAATGGAGAGAAGCATTCCATTGGGAAGAATTGAAGACGAAGAACTATAAGCCAAGATAAAACTTAGAGTGCACTAGGTTGCAAACAAAAATGGAAGAGAAGGGGAAAGATAACACAATTATGAACTTCGATTACATAGATATCTTAATGTTGGAAGCAAACACATATCATGCTTTTACCATCATCCGAGATGAACACATTTCCAATAACTTGGTCTCTAGTAGGAGTTCCTGGTGGGACTGGTAGCTTTTCTCGAAGGAGGGTTCATTATATGAACTATATTCTGTTTATTATGTTATATTTTTAAGTATTCTTGTCTTTAGATTTGGATGTTATTTGTATATGAAAAGGATGTACATGAGTATGAAGTTCATTTCTTTAGTTCTTGGAGAGGTTTTGATGGGGATTACATCATATATCATATTAAAATGATCTTATTTGGGTGCTTTTGTTGTAACAGGGATGCTGCATTAAATTGTTGATGTTATTATAAGTTGAAGAAGGTGTTGATGGCTTTAGGGCAGGTAATGTGAAACCTCGTGTTTTCATACAGGGGGTGATCGAATAATGTGATTAAGCTTATCATTTATCAACTGCTAATCAACTGGCTCTAGCATACCAATTTGCAAGTAGGCCGCCAAGTCGAACCTTTATCGAATTATTTGAGATCAAACAATGCCTATAATTTCTATTAAGTTTTTTGAGTCCTATATATAAGTATGTACTTGGTTAATAACTAATATAAAACTGAAGTCTGTGTGTATGCTTAATCGACTAAATCCATATTGTACTTGGATTTCTTTATCATTAAACCATGGCAAAATGATAATTAGTACTAGTGTTCACTTCTTTTTTTGATGAACAAGACAACTTATTAACAGACTAGCAAAAGAATGGTTTATGGAAGGTTAGTATAGGATGACAACATAACTTAAATGATTACAGTGCTTCAGCATAATGTAAATATCTAGAGTTAGTTGCTGAGGTTGTTAAGCACATAAGCCACCTGCACTATGTACAACCTCTATGTTGTGGTTGCTTTGTTTTCCCTATGAAGGTTACGTCTTTTGCTTTGAAAATTCAGTGTGCTGATGTGAAGGTTCGACTCATCATTTGGTTCGGTTTACTGCTCACCTTTGCCTAATTTATATATTTCGAGAATCCGTTGGAATAGGTTTGCATCCCTGTCAAATGCTTAAATGTGTTTCTATAATCAATTTACTTCTCTGATGTAATCTAAATTTAGGATGAGTTTATAAATTATCTCTACTGATAATGGTACGTCCTCTCTTTGTCCATCATCTATGTTTGTTTATTAATTTTAATAAGAATAATGTTTTTATTAACAGAAGATTATATGCTCACTTCTTACCGTTTCATAATAGATTAGCTTTCTTATTTGAACCAACCCTGGGGATATATTGCATTCATTTGGTTTGAATGTTTAGTAATATAGCAAAGCACATCAGGATTATGTTTTTTTAGTGTATCAACTTTAATTGACGCCACTTTCGTGTGAAGTATTGGTTTGGTTTTGGTTTTGGTTTTGATTTTGGTTTTGTTATGGAAGAAGGTTCTACAACTACCCGGTCAATGAATTTTATGGTCATAACGTGTGACTTGTATGCATTACGTCCCTTTTAGTTCCTAAAATAAACGTAACAGTATTTTCTTTAAATAATTATGATAGTTCCTTCCCTTACAAAGTTATAGTTTGTAGTTTCTTCTACTTCAAAGATTGTTACAAACAATGTAGAAACATTCATAGATAGACTTTGAAGTTTGAACTGATGAGTATGTATGATGTGTTGACACAGGTGAGGCTTTCATTTCACAAGAGTTGGTCAAAGACTTAGGTGTAGAAGAAGCATGATTGAATGTTTCCAAAAACAAGTCGCAAAATAGCGACAAATGCAGGTTTCTTTCGTGCGTTACTTTTTACCTTTTAGATTCCGAAGGTTTCCTCCTGAAGCTGGTTTATTTGGCAAATCCACCCAAATGTGAAATGCTTTTTTGAAGTCATTAAAAAAACTGTCTGAAAGTATTGATAGGAGACGGTTTTATGGTTGTGTGGTTGTTCATAACTTCTTGAGTTTGATTCCAAGTCATGTTTGTTGTTGTAATCTTTTTTTTCCAGGTTGGTTGATGGCACAGTATTTGTGTTCAAATTTTGGAGCTCTTGGCGGGGTTTACATTTTTTGTTCTTCGATTGTAAGTAATTGTTTTATAAGTTTTGATCTTTTTGGTAGATATTTGTTAAAGAAGTAAAATGAGATATTCAAAAACATGCTCCATCCATTTTAAATAAATGTCCATAAAGAATATGTATAAGTCATGTAAGAATCAAATCGAATAGCTATATATATAGGAGAAATGGTCTATGGGTGACAGGTAGTATATATATATATATATATATATATATATATATAATCTGTATAAGTTATGTGTAGTTATAGATGGAGAATTATGGAGGTCTCTGTACTATTTGTTATTCGTTATGTTGTATGGTTGTGCTCTCTTTGGTTACCTTGCTAGGATCCATTTGATTAACAGTTTACAATATGGAAATGTTGTTGGATGCAGGTCGTTATCATTTTTGGTTGTGCATATGGTAATTATATCTATTTATATCAAGTCTCTTGCATCCATAAATTACATTTTCTAGCCACTTACTTTGCTAATTGTACTATATTTGAAGTATAAGGACCACGTTGAGGCATTTGCAGATTGAGTAAAATTCTCAGACAGACCACTAAAAAACTAGAAGAAAGCTTAAAAAATAAATAATATTTCCTTCAATAATAAGCTGGATGTAGTTTGAACTGCATGATGTTATTTTAAACTGCATGAAGTTAGGGTAGTCTCCCTTAGCCAAGTTTAGAAGCTTGAAATTATAGTTATTTGTATAGTTACGAAATATAGTTCATGGAATGATGATTATTTTTTCACTTTTTACATATTTTCTCTTTGTTTATGTTGACTTCCAAGTTTAATTATTAATGAAAACACATTTTTTAGATCTGAGAGGTTAGCGTTGTTCTTCATGAAGGTGGGTGGTGTGTAGTATTGGATAATGATGTTTCTCATCATCTAGGGGTTGTTTAGTAAACACTTACCGGGTAAGTTGTTAACAATATAACTTGCCTTACCAATTGAGCATGACAAGGACCAAGAAATCTTATACCCTGCGAGTGTCATAGCATGGACCAAGAATCTTACCTGGTAAGTGAGGGAAAAAACTATTATCTGGTAAGAACTTACCTGGTTTAAACCACTAACCAACAATCCATTATGATGGTCGATACATAATAAGGTAAGAAAGGGTGATATGTCTTGCCAATAAGTGCTTACCCGGTTTGCATTTGATAAACAGTGTAGTGGTATTGTTACCTTTTTCTTTTGTTCTCATCATTCACTTGTAAACCAAATGATCTTAAACAATGCCAAGAATTTTGTATAACTACCTTCACATATTTATTTCAGCAATGCCAATAATCCAAGCTGCGGAATGTATTACCCGTCTTGTTGAAAGAGCCAATATGCCAGTGATATATCTTTCTACGGATGCTGCAGAAAGTGAAACTGGTTTATTGCAATCCCTTGTTATGCTGAATGGGAAGACTGTGCCACTCATTACACGACCGGCTCGTAATTCAGCCGAAAAGTGGGATGCATTATTGTATAGAAAAAAACTTGATGGGGATCCTCAGGTTGAGCTAGCGTATCAACAAGACAAAGACAAATAAAAAAAATGTCGTCATCTTGTTTTTTATGATAACAAACAGAACCTGATATATTTGGGGGCTAGTATTTTTGATGAATTGTGCACAAAAAAAATGTCGTCATCTTGTTCATATGTTGAGCTAGCGTATCAACATGACAAAGACAAATAAAAAAGTCAATCGTATTGACGAAACTGTTAAATCATCTCAAGTAGCATGCCACTAATTTTTGTTGTGAAAAATACATTTAAAAACATGATAATTTTAACCACAAATGTGGTGTCTGATTGGTTTGAATTTGGCTCCAAAGATCAAAAGTATTAGGAGGTTTCAAGTTCAAATCCAAGGAGAAATAAAAATCCCCTTGTGGCCATGGAGGTTCAAATGCGGTGATTGCGGGCTATCTGCAAAGCAGGTGGTCGTCCTGGGATTAGTCGGCTCGCATAACGGGTTGGATATCCAGGTTAATAAAAAAAACATGACAATTTTTATTAATAGATCATTAATCGAGATGAGACGAGAAAAAATGCATACGTCATCAAATTTTGTCACGAATAAACTTTTGTAACGAACATTTTAAAATTTAGGATGAGTTTATAAAATATTCTCTAATCTTTTGAATCTCATAAAATAAAGACCTTTCAAGAAATTTGAAATTTTATATAACAACATTGTTATATGGATAAAAGTGTTTATCGTGATAAGAGTCGTTGCCCTCATTTACCGAGTAAGACTTTTGGTCTTTGTCTCGCTCTTTTTGAGTAAGATTCTTGGTCCTTACCATATTCATCCGGTGAGGTAAAGTGACTTGGTAAGCACTTACCCGAATAAGCATTTGGTAAACGGTCCCTTAGTTGTCGAATAGAATGTTGATTTTGAACCAATATCTTGCTCCAACTTTCTCAAATAGGGGAATGTATTAAACATGAGGTAATTAACAAGTGAAAACACCAACAGTAAATTTTGGAAATAAATATTTAAAAAAAATAATATTTTAATAGATAAATGAAATATTTTAATATTAAATTCTTTAAAATAGGGGAATGTATTAAACATGAGGTAATATTTTGTAGAGATTTTAACTTTTAGTTTCCAATTTTAATAAAATTTTAGGGAGATGCTCTACTCTAACTTGTGTTTGCTAAAAATGCCTCACTGCTCCCAGCCCATTTACCAACAAAATCTAAGACATCTGTAATAGAATACTTAGGGAGTGTTTAGGATTGTTTATTTGAAACAACTTATGTTTTTTTACAAAAATGCTTATCAACTTATTATAAGTCAGAAAGATTTAATTTTTTTTAAAAACTTCTTATTACCGGTTTGATACCGGTATAAGTTATTTATCCAAATACTCAAAAGTACTTATTATCGATGTCACAACGAAACAAGTCAATAAGTTGTTTTTTAAGCAATCTCAAAACACCCCTAATCAGGACTTGATAATTGGAGTTAATTACTTGCAGATAGTTTTTTTATTGAATAACAACATGATTTTGGCACCACATGCAAGGAACTTTCCTACCAGCTGTAAGGATAAGTTATAAAAGTCAAGCATTGGTCTTCTCCTCTGCTTCATCTCCATTTTGGTCTCTGCTGCTGCACTTTTTGAAATCAAAACCCTAAGAAAGAAACAATATGGTTGTTGCTGAAATCATTCTCTCCTCATTCATCACTGTGCTCTTTGAAAAGCTGGTTTCTGCTGACCTGCTCAAACTAGCTCGATCTGCACGGATCATTTCTCAGCTCGACAACTGGAAGATCACCTTGTCCCAGATTCAAGCTGTGCTTGTTGATGCTGGTCAGAAACACATAACACAGATCGCTGTTCAAC